TTCCCGATGAGTCCACCAACACAGGTTGAGACCTGACACCAAACAACAGAACTGTGTGTCTATACAATGGGCACCAGAGAAATTACCAGCCACCACCCTCCTCTGAATCAACCTATACTTCGATGAAGTAACAGACTTAGGAGAATACATAATCTGACTGGAAATATGAGCAAGTTAACTGCTATACCTAATTAAAACTCCTTCCTCTTCTTGCTTGAATAACAGACCACTCTTATGTATGACTGTAGCCAGTCTCTTTAAATCCTGAGTATTTATTGGTACTTTTCAGTACTGGACTGTGATGGTACAGGTTCTCCAACTCTATCAGCATAAAGCTCAAAATGACTGAACTCTACCATCAGAGGCAAGTAAAAGTTAAGCCAATTCCATAGTGGAAACCACTAAAATGTGTCCATGTTGGTCTCCCAGGTTGTAAGGCCATGCAGACTTCACCTCAGCTCAAAGGTTTACTAAGAGGTTTCAGACACAGATAGCCAATATAAAAAATGTATTATTTGCACAGTAACTGATTTTCTTAATGTTCAGGAATCTTACCGTGTCATTGATTCTTTATAATCTTGGTCATCAATGGTGAATCTCTCACGTAGGTTGCGAAACACTAAAGGACAATATTCTTTTACTTTGAAGTGACTTGGCATGTTTTCTCTGAAAGAAGGAAATGAGTTGAAGACATTTTGAAACAGCTCTGATTTAATGCAAAATAGTGCAAAACACAATGCGAAATATATACTTCCAGTTCTCTTTCTATCTTGCCATTTTTCCATTAGCTAGTCCATTAAATTATTCTATACAACTGAAAATAGTCAGGCTCAGTTATCTCCCTTTTGTGACAAGAACATTTCTTCTCACATAAAATCCAGGATGAACATTTCAGAACAAAATATGAACTGAAAACAATGAATACTGAAGCAGACCTCCTGAGATACTGTGCTGCGTGGTCTAGTATTTTTCCTCTGTGAATAAGAGGTAATTACAAATTAGTTTTCACCTCATATTCTCAGATCAGAGAAATGTTATGATAAGAACAGATATCCATTTAATCCAGGTTACATTATAGACATGTTTTACTCTACAATCTGTTACCACTACTATTATATCATTACTACTGACACTATTACTGCCACTGCTGCTGCTGCTGCTATTACTAGTCACTATATTACCAGTTTTTATACAGAGGTATAATGTTATATTGCAAACTTACTTGTTGAACAAATGGTTGTCAACCTTTAACTTTGAATAGGCTCGAAAATCATCTGGCAGGAGCATTACTGGAATTGTCACATGGCTAAGTTCATTGATCTGGGGAGAAAGAACATAAATCAAAACTGGGATAAAATAACACAGAGAAGACTCCAATGATAAACTGATTATTCCTTCAGAATCCCAAATAAAATACACTCAGAAATTTCTTAGCCCATGTGTTATTCCAAACTTTCGTCCGAAAAAAAATTAAATAAATTTCCAACAGTACCTAAAAATTGCTAAAAAGATGGAACAAGATAAATACCTAAAAACATATGTTCATATGAATAATAATAATAATGATGATGATAATCCTCTTTCATCCAAGGTCTGCCAGGAACCCTAAATAATCATGTAAAAGGGTTACAGAAAAGCTGTTACACAGGCAATTCTTATGGGCAATCACAGAATCCCATCCCAGCTTCTCAGTCCCCCTCCAAACAAGTGTTGCACACAAGACAACTAATTCTACACTTATGCTTAGTCTAATCAACAACTAAAATATGAAAGTGTATTAAGTACGAAAAACCAATATGCATTACTTAGGGCACACTATAATATGAGTGCACCAAGTTTTCAAAGTTTTTAATATCCTACACATACCATGTCTGCATTTCAACTAATACCAACAGGCTTCTTGTAATTGTTCTGGTAAACTATTAGAAATATCTTCATAATACATGCCATCCTATTTCTACCACATATTCTGCATTGATAATAACAATGTAAAACTCATTTCATAACACTACCTTTCTATCTCTTCCTATCACAAAGATGTAAATAATAATGATGTACAACTGGTAAAAATTTCGTTTTGTTTGTACATGCATTCTTACCCAGAAGAAAACAAACACTACTATAAAATAGCCACAACATTCATTGACACCTAAAAATTAAAAATGTGAATTGGAGTGGTGGTTTACATGTACAAACCTACAATAACAATATCCAGCAAGAAATGAAACTTCAGTATTTTGAACTGCCACTCACCGTATGGTTGACGCCCCACATAAAAACGGACAGAAGAGGTTCACTTGCACGGAAAAGTTTTACTTTTTGGTGTTTTACACGAAAATGTTTCTTTTTCAGTTTACTTAATCCACCTTGAACTTGAGGAACACTCATGGCGGTCCCGTTCGAAGTATTTTTCCGAAGAAGGCTTTCAAGCACAAAAACACTACCAGACTATACCCATTTTCATCAGACACTATTAATGATGTACCATATTACGTACACTCAAACACAAAACATTCCATGTGATACAATGACAAATAACTCGATTGCTTTGACACTCGGTAATTATTATAACCTCCCCTAAACGAAAACAAACGTCATTGACTGCAACGCAAATGATAAGTCGAATCGAGTACCTGGATGTCAAATATAAATAAACAGTGTCGACACCTGTCGGGATCTTTATGTAACTACATGATTTGCATCAAAGTATACGCTAGAACTCATAAAAGAGGAACTGAAAGCAGACAAACGTGCTGTCGAGGTCACTTGTAAAGAACACGCCAAACATTTCTGCTCTAGTTTAGAATTTTTTGCCAAACCTCCATCTTTGAGTGATAAAGAGTGCTTTGGAAACGTTGGCGCACCTTTCAATGCTCTTTGGACATCAGCTGGTCTCTGTGGTGTAACCTGCAAATTGCAACAGAGATAGTAAACAATCAAATGAGAAATTAAGAAACTGAGATTTTAGATTCTCACGGCAGTGAGCAGACAAACAATATCATAGATAATGCACAGATTATCTGTGCACACAGAGCAATAATGATACAATCGAATAAAACTATCGAATAATTCAATTGATATTTAATATTAATCACATTAACTTCTTCGGCATAGAAAACCAAACTATCTAGACAGAAGGACATGATAATACTTGAGAGCCTTCCGTTGGTGAGGTCAACACATTAGCTTAGTCGGAGTCCAACAGTGTGGCGAAGGTTGCTTCTCTACGTTCACCGGCGAATTATTAGGCAAATATGAAAGTTATTGCAAGTGTGAACTGTGGGATGTGTTCAGTTTGTATAATGCCATAAACGTTGTGTCGAAACAATATCAGCTTATCAGTAAACTATATTAATCAGGAATGGATTCGGTGATTTCGGATGAAACTGTATTGGAATCGCCATCACCTCAAGCATATACACCTATTTCCTTGAGAAATCACAAATTATTTAGTACATCTTGTACAAAGCAGCATTCCAAAGGGCTATTAACCCCATGCAGACAGGTTGGACTTAGAAGAAAATCACCAAAAAATGCCATGTCACCATCGAATAGTAACAGTATACCTTTAGTGACTCCTAGGAATTTAAGGTTTGTTTCTCCAGGAGGAAACTGCAAAGGGCAGGGAAAGTTCATGGGTAGTGTGTTAGACAAGCACATTCCGTATGAGGAAGAAACCAGTAAGTCTTTGGGAGAAAGACTAAATTTGGAGAACATTAATGAAAAGACCAAGCAATGTAAATATGAAGTGGAAGAAGAATCCTTCCATGATAAACATGAAGAAAGAACCACAGAGAAAATCCAGACAGAAAACTTTATTAACAAAGCTGACATGAATGTTCATGTCTGTGAAGAGTCAGACCTCCAAAGCAAATTATATGGTACATATAATGTGAACAGTTCTGAGAGTAGTGATGGAGAAAGGGCCAACAAAAAACCCAAGATGGAAAATGTTGATGATGAAGCTCAGCAGTATAATATAGATAGACCATCATATAAAAATTTGGACCTCCAAAGCAGTTCAAATAATGAACACAATTCTGAGGACAAAAATGGAGAAATAACCATTGAGAAAACCCTGATGGAAAATAAGAATGATGTAACTCATAATTTCAGTGTAGATATGTATTCCTGTAAATATTTAGACTTACAAAGTAATTCAAGAAACAAAGACATGAACAGTTTTGATAATATGATAGAATGTACTGAAGATAATTTAAACATTTTGAAGCGGCAAATTACAGTCAAGGAGGAAGAAGTCAAACGTTTGAAACTAACTTTGTTATACAAAAAGAAGGTATTTAACATTTGGCTCTGTTTGATTTTTTCCTTTGGGTCTCGG